AATTTTAAGTGAATCTTTGTGTGTGTATACGTGCGCGCGCGTGTGTCCGTGTGTTTAAGATGGGAGATTTTCATCACGCATGAGAAGCGAGGTGTTCTGGTAATATTTAACAAAGAATATAATGTAATTAAGCTGGCAACTTTTTTTACCTTGTTTAATTGGTATAAATGAGTCAACTATAGACCATGAAGACACATTGTTTCCTTTTTCTGCTCTTATACGCAAATTAAGTTCTTCAAAAACATTTATCTTGAGTGGAGAAAAGTCGCATTTCGTACTAGTAATATTTTGACACCCAGGTAATTTTTCCCAATTATCCATCCCAGGCCTTTAAAATAAAAAAGCAACAGAATGAATAAGCAAATGTATAAACACAAAAGAGCATTTCTAGTTTAAGTAGTTACTTCTTTTACTTGAGTTCATATCCTGTTAACATTTTAAGTAACATTCCACTCTTTTTCCATGCATATATACCAAGTTATTATTCATAAAAAGGATTAATTCTGACATAAAGTTACTTTTTAATACGGTTCTATAATTCTGTGGGTGGTTTAGATTTCAAAGAAGCAGAGAAAGAAATGACCCGTAGGTAAAAGTGGACTCAGAGTCAGCTTTGTTATGTGACTTCTGGCCAACTACTTTGTATTTCTGGATCTTCTCTTTTTAACTGAAATTCTGGGAACTAAATTCCGTCTGATCTCCTCCTATGAACAGATTTACTAGCCCTAAGAAAGACCTTAGAATCAATATGGTTTGAGAATTTCCTCCGCCCTCCTCAAAACCAAAACATCCCTTCTACTTGCGGATCCCCTTAATTCCTTCTATTACATCACTAGAAACAAAGAACTTAAAATGTTAACATAAACTAATAAATTCCTCAAAGTGGATTTCGTCAATCGAAAAGTTTAAGTGATTAATATCAGATTCTTCAAATACATGAAGAAATCAAGTTGGCAGCCTGTGCCCCAAACACAAAGGACCTGTTGCCACAAAGAGGAAAGACGACTGAAGAGAAGGTCAGATGTCTATGGTCAGCCCTGCCTACCTTAGCCAGGCAGAGAAACTATCCTCTGAGAAGGCATTTTTGTCAAGCTTAATTTGTAGTTCTAGCATCAGCTGACTTTTTTTGGTAATACTGCAGACTTCGTTTAAAGATGCTTTATGACAACAGAAACTAGGGATGAAATCCAAATAATTTTGGTGCTGCCCCAAATCCAAGTCTACCTTATTTTTCAAAAAGGAAACATTTTTTTTTTTTAGATTACCGTAAATACACACTAGCATACAGAATCCTTCCTTCCCGGCCAGTTACCTCTTCTACTTTACCTACCTGAGCTCTAAGATTAGAGCTGGTATTAATGACATTTTAATTTAACAAAAACATTCCTCAAAAACTCCTCCATATCTCGAAATCCAGATTTTTGGGAGATAGTTTTGGTTTTTTTTTCAAATGGCATTTATTAGAAAATACAATTCCAGGGAAAGTAGGAGATACAAAGAAGTCTGGCAAGTGGGTAAAGCACAGACATCTTTAAATCAGGGGCATAAAGGGTCAAAATAAAATGAGCTACTGGCAAAAAGTCAGTAACGTGTCTATGGTCCATTCATCTGGAAAACTCTTATATAAACAGAAACTTTATTAAAAATTTAAAACTAAGCCTTGGTATTGTTTCAACTCACCCTCACTTTTACATCCGTCTTTCCTGCACACTCTGTTACAACTGCTTTTGCATATAAGGGAGCCACTGTAGCAGTAGCTACTTTTATCCCTTAAAAAAAAAAACTTTACCACATACAGTATTTAGATGAGAACAGAATATAATTTAAAAATGAATATGCAACCAATGTAATATTCAGTTCATAAAACAGGTTTCATAATATAACTTCGTGCCATCTTTGTCTCATTCACTAATGTAGTCTAAGCACCCAGAAGAGTGTTTGGCATTAAAGGCATTCAGTATCTGTTGAATGAAAGAACACTACTACACACTACATACACCATAACAAATTTTAGCTATAGGTCACAAACACTGATATCTTAGACAGCATGGATTCTATAGGCATTGATATCCTAATAGCTTATTTATGTGCCTGTGTATCATTTACCACCAGTGACATACGTGCTACATTCTGAGAAACACCATACGTACTAAAAAATACCGGTCTACTGCTGATACTAATTACACTTCAACTGATCACTTACTCCATGCCACTGTTCTGAGCACTTTATATATAATTGTTCGACACTGATAAACACCTTCTTAGACACTTATTATTGGGGTATCCTAGCCCAGTTTGCCTAGGACAGTCCTGGTTTAATCTTGTTTCAGCTTATGCAAAATTAAGTGCCTCTTTTCACTCTCAAAAGTATCCGTTTGGATGCTAAATTACGTGTGGTCATAGTTTTTACTTAACAGATAAGGAAACTGAGATAGAGGATGCATAAGTAGCAGAGGATGGATTAACCCAAGCATCCTGGCTCAAGTCCCGATTACACTGCAGTACACTAATGCTATATTGTCTCCCCAAAGCTGCAGTCTGGCATATTTCGACAAAGCAATTGTTTATAAAGCTAACAGTACAGAATAAAGTAAGAACACACTGAAATAATGCATCTGATGCTAGAGTCAGAATGGAAGGGTAATAGATGATTGTGGACTGGAGAATTTAAGATAAGCAATGCAACGTGTGGAGGCACAAGAACGTGAGAGCACTGTCGACTGCTCTGTTCTTTATTATGTGGGTAACTTTAAAGAAGGGTATCTGACGTCTTCTTTGTTATACTTAAAACAGTTGTTTTAAGAATGTTCTGAACTAAGGCAAAAAACAAAATTGGTAACAAAACTCAAAGTTCAATTTAAAGAAAACTTCTAGAGATAAAAACCCTTACATTATCGATTCTGAGAAAAACCATACACGTATTTGTGAACATGTACACACACATGTATGTATCCATACATGTGCTCTCCCACACACACATTACTGTTTATTAACAATCAGCTGGAGAACAACAGTGCCACAGCCGTGGGTGAAGTGATGGGATCCTGGTGCTGAAGGTCCTATGCCTTGTTTCTTCGCTGCCTCATTACCTGCCTGCTCTTTCCTGGACAGGTAGTGTGGTGAGCACACAGGCTCCAACACTCCAAGCGAAGTACTGTTATTTCCGGAGCCCTGTTTCCTTCTATAATCCTTTCTTCTGCAAGTTTCTGCCTGCCTATCTTCTTGGTATTTATTAAGTAGAAAGTTAGGACTAGGGAGGAGGAACTGAAACTCCAAAAATATCAGATCTGTGGAAATGCAGGGTCTGCCATACTGATGTTTATAAATGGCATGTAAGTTAAAATGTCGTGTGTGATGGAGATAATAGGAAACCCTGACCAGACAGACCTGGTGTCCTATTCCAAAACCGTGGCTAGGCCCTTTGGGGTTCTTTCCCATATCCTCAAGTTATGGTGATGTTCTAGTCCAGAGCCAGATTTATATTTAAAGAACGTGGAGCATCCAGAACAGAGAAGGTATGGCTGTGGACAAGGAAGCTGTCTGCCACTGGGGTCCCCCAAATCTCTTGTGTCAAAAGTCGAAAGATAAATTTGACTGTGTATATTTGTAGAGGTGAAGTTATAAATATTATGAAATTTCTTAAAAAAATGGAAAACCCAAATGTTTCACAAACTGAAAAAAAAAATGTGGTGTTAAAATTATAAGAATTCTTCAGATGATTCTGGCAAAGCAATAAGCAGAGTCACATACGTTTTATAATCTGCTGAAAAAGTCACATTCCCGACAGACTCATCGCTCTGGTTCCACTTCAGGATAAAGGTGTCATCAATGATGTAGACCTCTACATTTTGGGGAGATTTTAAGTTTGTTTCTCCTATAAAGGTAACAAGAAGACAGTTATATGTACACCGCAGACATTTTTAAAAACGTTATTATTCTCTTCACATCACTGATTAGAGAATGAATGTTTAAATATAACAATTAAGTATATAAAATATTTAAGAACACCTAATGATTGATCTCAGGATAGAGAGGTTGCTAATTATATCTCTGCATCTGAGAGAGCTGAAAAAAGATTTTTTTAATCTATAAAAAGTGCTGAATGTCAATTAGATCTCAGTAAAGGTGGAAAAACAAAGGAAAAAAAGTAAGTGCTGTTTTTTAATTGAAAAAGAAAACAGTCTTTCTATAAAAATAGAATTTTTGTTTGGTCTGGAAGAGATTCTGATGTTATGGATACAGGGTTCAAATGTTTGGTTTCACATTCTATGCTTGAGATAGACACGTGCTTCACAGACCCTGATAGAGAACTGAACAGATGTGATTTCAAAGTTGACAGCTATTCACAGGAAATGAATATTCACATTAACCAAATCGAGAGGGGTATGAATGTTTATGTCAGCCAAGCCCTATAGGAACCTGAAAAAGTCCTGACTGCCGAACTAATCAAGTCTGAACCTTCTGTTTATTTTTAAGGACTTCTAGAGACCCACTTTATTTCTTACATTGCTAGTACCAATTTTACACCAGGTAGATGCCCTCTCTTCTCATTTTTCCTTTCTGGCCCCTCCAATCCGCATTAATCTTCCTCTCTGACCACCCAAATCCTCCGAGAGCCAGCTCAAGTTAGACCCCTGCTAGAAAACTTTTCCTCACGGTCTTGTTCTTTCTTCATATGCTGCACCACGAATCTGTACTGCTCAATTTCATACAGAAGTAGATGAAAAAATAAATAAAGCCCATCACCTGATATCCAGTAGGCTCTCAAAACTTGGTGAAAAGATCTTTAAAAAATTGCTTCTTTGTGTTAAACACAAATCTCCAACTGTCAAGTTCTTTAAGGGCAGGTCTATCCAGCTTCATACTTAATCCACATTGTTCAGAGTACTCAGCGTAATGCCGAGTTCACATGAACTTTTTCAACATCGCAAAGGTCTGATCTTTCACTATGATAAACTATAATTTTTAAAAGACCAGCTTTTAAATTTATTTCTGGTTCCTACAATATTTCTAGCCTTTACTTCTGCCTCAGGGCAAGCATATTTTCTCCTTGCAGACTTTTCTGAGCACAGGGGTCTTTGTGTAGAACTTCCTTCATTGGGACTGTTTCCTCTGCTTTCCAGTTAGAAATATTATGGTATGTCGTCAAAGGTAAAACATTTAAGATTTTCTGAATTTTTTTAAATTCGGGAGCTACTCATGGAGTGTCCCCACCCCGTTTTCCGTTTCACACTCGTAATCTCTGAGACTACATCCCTGAACAGAACACCTCCCCTAATCCCACTCGTCTGAATTTAGTTCCCATCCCATTTGTTGGAATTTTATAGACTGTGCAACTAAAGGGCAGTGATTGGGTTTACAGGGATTAACAAAAGATCTGATGGCATCTGTAGTATCTAGTCTAGAATATTCTAATTCTGTAATTCTGGGCCTTGACACAGGAAGAGGAAATCTGATGGGGTATAGCCAGGAAAACCCTCAGGGAAGCAATCCTTCTGCTAAAGGAAGGAGACCTGGAGCTAGAGACATCCTGGCATTTGAGAGATCGACAGATAAAAGGACAGAGACTTGGAAATAGAGTTATTAGACAAAATTTTAGATTTCATATTTTGTTCTATTAGTATTAGCAGTATCTTTTTGATAATAATTTCTTTTACCCTTTTAGCACGCAAAATGCATAGATGGGCATTTAATCCAAACTTCTATTTATACAACTGGTTGTTTCCAACCCTCACATTCACAATGATGAGCAGATGCAGTTTATTATTTTTTTAAAGTCTAATATAAATCCAAATACATATATCCATACAAATATAAATTTCCTACCCTATTTTTGGATCGTTTTCCTAGGCTGGGGTCCCAGAACTGCATTCACTAGGTTGAAAAGCATGAATGTTGTTAAGACTTTGAAAGATAGAGCAACATTATGATCTCAAGTTAGGGCTAACATTTCATTTAGTTTTGAACATTACTATTCCTTTGGGAAAAAGTAAATTAGTTAACTGAAAGATAACATAGAGGTGGATAACAAAGAATTTAAATTGTCTGAACTTTAGGGAAACAGTCTAGTCTTAAGCACTGGAGGTCTGAGGCCAGAGTCCCAGGGTCTGATTGCCCACTCAGCCACTGGCTAGCTGGATGGCCTTAGGCAAATTACACAATCTCTGTGTCTTAGTTTACTTATTTGCAAAAGGAGGATAACAGTGCCCAGCGGTTGTTTTGAAAGCTGAAGGAATTTATACCTTTACAATACTCAGAGTAGAGCCTGGGCACATAATTAAAAGCACAATAAATGCTAGCTGTGTATAAAACTGATTTTAGCAGCTCTAATGTAGATTAGAGTTAGGATTCCAATGCACATCTTCCTGGAAAACTCTGGGGGGAAATTCTTATATTAAAGCAAACATGAGTTTAATGCAAATTTTCATTAACGAAAGACTCCAAAGTACCACGGGTTGCACCAAGACCCCTACTACCACTCCTTCTGCTATACCGTGGAAGAGTTTGAGAAAGAAGATACCATGTATCACGTTGGGGTACGGTTTTCTAAGGCAACAGTTAACTATTTGAATCCACTAGGCGGTTTCCGCGGCCTCCAGGATTCCTGACCGTGGTCACTTGGGCCCTGCTTCTCTTTGGGTACCCCTCCCTCCTCACTGCAAAATCAACTTTGTAATAGTTGCCATTCCCCAGATAATCCCGGCTAAATATTAAGGCGGGCAGCAAACGAGTCTGGTGGATTCTAGCCTTCGTATTTTGGCTGTCTTTGCAACCCTCATTGCCCTCCTACGTGAGACTGAATAACTGTTTACTAAACGAAGGATAAGCATTCAGGAACAGTAGCAGAGTTCTTGGCTAAAGCTTTATGATCAAACGGTCCAGCCGAGATGCCCGATTTTTCGAAAAGACACAAACTCGACACGAATCAACACGAAAGCTCCCGCACACGCAAGGCCACGGGGGTAGGAGCCCAGGGCGCGACCGAAGGCCGGCGGGCCGGCGGGCGGGCGCCCCCAGCCCGGGCACGGGTGCGCTGGCTGCCAAGCGAGCGGCGAGCAAGGAGCCTTAACACCACTTGCCTAAGGCGGTTTCAATATGAACGCTGTGGCCACGAGGACCAGAGGTCCCCCAGACGGACATCTGCGTTCCGCCAACCCCCTCCGAGGCCGTGACTTCCAACGCCGACACCGCCCAGCCTCACGCCCCGCCTCGGAGCCTGCGCCGGGAACCTCGTCTCTCACCTGCGGCTGCGGGCAACACCCACGACATGCCGGCGACCAACACTAGGGTCGCCACGCCTAGGAGGTCGAGCATCGTCCGCGGGGCGCCACCGACCTCACTAGTCACGTCCTGGGCCATCGCACGCAGCTGTTCGGTT